TACTTCTTATTACCCATCCTTTGTTGTTTCTTTATAGTTTAGATTTCTCATGTAAGAGAAGCCTTGCAATAATTAAACTTGTGTGTCTGATTTATTTCCCTTAACCATATGGTCTCAAGGAGTATCTATTTTCCGACAAATTAGTTGAATTTGTTGGAAATTGTGTGTGTAGTAGTAGACCACTGTGTGTGAACACCACATTTTCCTAACCATTCATCTGTTCATGGACATAGAACATCACTGTCAAGATTTAGCTATTGTGAGTTGCACTACTATAAACATGGGTTTGTACACATCACTGTAATATGATGTCTTCGACTCTTTGAAGAAGACAAGAATAGCTGGATCAAATGGAATTTCTAGGTTCAGCTTTCTGAGGACTCCCCATACTGATCTCCACAGTGGCTGTACTGGTTAACATTCCCACCAACCATGTCAAAAGGCTTTCTCCCCCCACCCCCACAGCCACTGCAGCAATTGCTATTATTTGATTGTTTGAGGATAGCCATTCTTGTACTTTGCTTTTCTGTGGTGGCTAATGGTGTAGAACACTTCTTCATGTAGTTAGTGGTCATTTGTACTTCTTCAGAGGAGCGTTTCTTCATTTAGGAAACACTTTTAATCCAGCAACTATTATAATATTTCGAACTTCTGTTCTGACATCCTAACTAATCCTCGTCACAAAAACTGGGAATCGTAATGAGAGCTCCCATTCTGCCTGCCCTCTACAGATACAGACGAGACAAAATAGCAGGGTGCTTATCTACAACAGTATCAAAATGCACCTTGCTTCACCCAGAGACCCTGGAGTCTATCAATTTCACACACTCAGTCTGGCTCACTGAACTACAGCTGCAGACAAGGTTCCCCAAGGTAGAAGAAATTCTAGCCCCAGCAAATCCAAAATGTGGGGGCTGGGGACTTGGCTCAGTAGTAGAACACTTACCTAGCAAGCTGGAAGTCTTGGGTTCGGCCCTTGGCACCAAAAACAAAAAAATAAACTGCCCCTAAATTCCAAAATGTGCTCTTAGGGACATGTCCAAAGTGAGTGGTGTTTACATGCCCTGGAGGGAGCTGGCGCACACACAGAACACTTCTCTGTGCCCCTTCTCATCCCTTCTGCTCCAAATTCTAACCTGTTCCCTTCTAGAAAGATCTCTCTCCCTGTTCCCTATTTTCCATCTTTTATTCTGCTGTTTATGTATATTTTGGGCTTTTCTAAAAGAAATCATGCAACAATATTCAAGCTTTTGTGTCTGGTTTATTTCATTTAACATTTTAAAATATCTTTTTTGTATTCATACTCTGCACTATTTCTAAAAGAACAAAAGGTATCTTTTGAAATATGATTTTATAATTTAATTTACTTGCAGTACTTTTTTGAACCACAGAAGTAAGAGGACTAAGAAAAATCATTAATATGACCAGCATTAAATTTTGTATGCAGGAGGAATATATGCCAAAGTTTATAATTACATATAAACAAAACAATTTTATTTTATGATTTGATTATTGCAGGGTCTCACTATTTAGCTCAGACTCATGGTGATCATCCTGCTTTCAGCCTCCCCAGCTCTGGGATTACAGGTATGCACCACCACGCCCGGACTCTGTGGCCTGCTCAGCGTGCCCTGAGAGCGGGTCTGGTGCGGCATTTGGTTCCGGGGATCGAACCACAGTGCCTGCACTTGCCTAAGTTTGGCTAAGCAGGCGCTTTAGTCCACTGAGCTATCTTACCAGCCACAAAACAGTTTTGAGCTCAGAGTCATATGCCATACAGTTCACCCATTGAATGCAGACAATTCTATTGGTTTTAGTCTATCCAGAGATTTGCAAGCATCGCCATGGTCAAGTTAGAGTACTTCCCTCATGCCGATGAGGAAACCCTCATCTCTGCAGACGGTCCCAGCTGTCATCCACCTGCCTAGCCATTCACTTACTCACTTTTCATGGATCTGTCTGTTCTGAGTATTTATGCAAATGGAATTACAAAGGCTGGCAAGGTAGCTCAGCAGATTAAAGTGTCAGCTTAGGCAGATGCAGAGACCAGAGTTCAATCCCAGTGTGCCATGCTGGTCCCGCCCCCGGGACAAGCTGAGAGGGCAATCCCAGCACTTGGGATGCTGTAAGCAGGAGGATCACTACAAGTCCGATCTGTGTAGTGAGACCCTGAAGACCCTGTACTAAATGCATAAAAAAATTTAAAAAAAAAAATGGAATCACAATACGTGGTCTTCCGTAATTGGATTGCTCCACAGAGCATAATGTTCTCAAGTCTCTTCCACTTCACAGTACTGTACCTGTACTTCATTTTTCTCTACTGCCAAATAATATTTCACCATCTCTCTCTCTAAACACTACATGCTGCTCATTCTTTCCCCAGCCAATGGGCATCGGGGTAATTTCCACTTTCACCTCTTAGGAACAATGCTGACGAACATGCCTGTGCAAGCCGCTGCAGGGATATGAATTCACCCTCCTGGAGTATACACTTACGAGTGTAGCTATTGGACAGTATGACAACTACGTTTAATATGCTTTCATGTGGCTTTTTAATCTCCTATGCACCCTCCCATCATAAAATCTCAAAAGTAAAGCATTTAGTCATGGAGGAAAATGTCCTCTCTCTCTCTCTCTCTCTCTCTCTCTCTCTCTCTCTCTCTCTCTCCTCTTTTTATTGTGGAATCGGGGATTGAACTCAGGTCCTTGCGCTTGCCAAGCAAGCACTTATTCCACTGATCTATCTCCCCGGCCCCTAGAAAATGTAATCTCAGCCCAGAAGTTTGGTTGGAATTAATTAAGCAGAAGCGCACGTCGTTTTATTTCAAACAGAAGTTTGGACAAAACTTTCCTAACTTAACTCATAGCTTGAAAAGAATGAGGCAAGTCGTCTTGCAAACATGTGAACACAATTCA